CTCATGATGAGCTGCTATAAAAACTAAAACAAGTTTTCTCAATCCTTCCGATACCTTTGGGTATGACAGTAAAGGGTTAGAGTTAGGGCTATTTAGGTGGAGGAGCAGGACTGAGGAACAGTTTATTTAGCTGTGATGCAAATTTCATCTTTTTCTATTCATCTATTTCATCTATCTAATTTTCATCTATTATTTTTTTAATTATCTTATCTTGGATTCAGGATTTTAACACCTAGCATGGATCAAACCAATCCAGAAACCTAAAAACTGTTAATTCCTCATTCGGGTGTTCCCTTGTGGGGTTTTAAACACACCAGGACCACATTTCTGGTATTACAGTTTTTGCCCATTGCTTGAACACTTTAGACACATGCTTAAACCAAAGTAACATAACTTGAAGTTGTTGTCACTATACCTTAAACAAAAGTGCTGCTTAGCACTTTAGTTGCAATTCTACAACACACTTGGTCCAGCACATTTCACACATTTTCGTACATAAGACACTTTGTTCAAAAATGGAATTTCAGGGTATCATTGGGAAAACACATCAATTCAAAATACAAAACACACTGGGCAATTGAAAATGCTTAGACACACACCTGAAAACACTTACTCACAAAACAGAACACCAATCAGCCAGCTACCAAAAGACTCACTTAAGTACTTCTGAGAACTTTGCAAGCATGGAAGAAGGGAGCGCTAGAGCTAGAGGCAGAGAGAGAAAGAGAGAGAGAGAGAGAGAGAGAGAGAGAGAAGGACACGGTCAAAGAGGCCATGCAAAGACCATTATAGCCGTTTCACAGTTTCATCCATAATTAGGACATTCAGACTGGAAAACAGGTATGTCTTCATCTCTCTACTCTACTCAGACTGTTTAACATTTACTGTATTTCAGGGTGCTCCATTTTTAACAAAAGTAGTTTTGTGAAACATACTCTGTTGTAACATGTTGAGATGTTTCAGTACTGTGTATGGTATACACAGTAAAGTACAGTATATACAGTACTGTAAAAAATGAGCCAACCAATAACAATTTATTGTTGCATTTTTCAACAGAATGGCTAGAAGACCTTCTGGGGGTGGACGCCAACGCCTGTTCACCCAACAGCAGGAACTTGCCGTTGTCAACCTAGTCAGAGCAAACAATGCAATCCGTCTCCACCGACTACAACAACAATTACTTGAAGATAGGCAGGTATTCAACAACATAATCGAGTAAGCATCACCACTATCAGACACATCTTGGTAAAGCACAACATAACCATGATGCAACTGTACCGGGTCCCATTCGAGAGGAACAGTGCCAGGGTCAAAGAACTTCGACATGAATATGTACAGGTAAGTGTTACAGTCCTTTACATTTACAATACACAACAGTAACAGTTGAATATTTACCATTGGATTAGTACCACATAGATATATTCAGAAAGCTACACAGTGTAGAAGTAAATTATTGTATGTATTTTGGTGATTTTAAAGCTTAATACACTACTCTACACTTTGACAAATGTGATGTGAATTTCCATATAATATGGAAATCCAGTCTGATTGGTCTTTAATGTTTAACCAGAAGATTTAGAATTCTTTGCTTATTCAGGGATTGTAGAACACTTCGTATTCATTCAAGAAGAGAGTCAGGTTTATAAAAAGTAAGAATTTATTTTCCAAACAATTAAAAACATGTCAAGGTAACTAATATTTACTGTGATGGATGGATCTAGGTGGATAGAATGTGATGTATGCCGACTTTATGTCAATGTGAGGTTTTCCGAACTTTCATATCTAAAACAACTGAGTTATGGGTGTCAAAAGGAAAGAATTTGGTTTGCGTTAACTAGGAAAATCATTCTTATCAAAGCCACATCAGACGCGATCATGCTGTGTCTACCTCACCCTTTGGAAGACCCTCTTCGCGGATCCGAAGGTCAGGGAGGTCGGATGAACTCTGGGCACCGAGGTTTGTAGAATAACCGCAGCACCAACTCTCCAGTCCAGAGATGTTTCTGGGTCATAACAGATGGATGGAACCGTTTGCGTCTAGAAGGACACTTAGGGAGTCGGAACAGTATCAGCTTTGTTCTGCAGGATTTGTTTGCTGTGTCAGCAGTAGGCAGCTTTTAGCAGGGTTTTGAAAGCTTGTCAAAAATGCTCTGGGTTTAAGAGGTTTTGCTCCAGGCGACCGTTCCGTAGCTTTTCTCTAGAACTGACTCACGGTCTCGT